AGTTTCAGCAAAGGACAAGAGGGATCCTCTCACTTCTGCAGGAGTCTACCGTATACCATGCAGCTGTGGCCAAGTCTACATAGGGACCACCAAACGCAGCATTGCCCAAACACGAATCAAGGAACATGAAAGGCACTGCAGACTACTTCAACCAGAGAAGTCAGCCATAGCAGAGCACCTGATGAACCAGCCTGGACACAGCATATTATTTGAGAACACAGAAATGCTGGACCACACCAACAACCACCATGTCAGACTACACGAGAAGCCATTGAAATCCACAAGCATGTGGACAATTTCAACAGAAAGGAGGAAACCATGAAAATGAACAAAATCTGGCTACCAGTATTAAAAAACTCTAAAATTATAACAGCAAAACAACAGAGAGTAAACAATTAGGCACATCTAATCACCTCTCAACAAAATATTCCCCCAGGCACTGCCAAGCCATCAAATACTAATTAAGGTGGTCAGTTGAAACATTCACACCTAGTTCCAGCAGACAAAAGTCCTTTGTCCCACCCGGGTCATTCCACAGATATATAAACCCATTTTCCTAGTTCCAACAGACCTCACTACCTCTGAGGATGCTTGCCATAGATGCAGGCGAAAAATCAGGAGAAAATGCCTCTAAAACATGGCCATATAGCCCGGAAAAACCTACAACAACCAAAGTTGGAAATGACTTCCAGGTGAAATAATTGCTGAACACAGTGAGCTCTCAGTATCCACTACGAGTCAAATTCCTACCCCTTCTCCTCATTACCCAAATCCATGGATACCCGATACATTATATACAAAGGTGTAGTAAAATGGCATCCCTTGTGTATAATAGCACATAACTCAACATTTTGCTTTTGGGAATTCCACTAAGCTTGACTTAGTGGATCTAAAGTCTGTGGGTATTGTGGACCGACTATACACACACATAGAGGGCAGTTCAGTGATCTGCTTTTAAATCAACATGAAACAGAATTCACTATTGTTGGGATGATGGAATTTAATCAACTTGCTCATCATGACAATAAAAACTTTAGCAAACTTCAATATGTTATTTGGTGAACTCTGAAAGAAGAAGGATGATATGGAGCCATCAGAGCTTCATTGGAACTCTTCCAAAATTGGATCTATAAAGCAGGAATGAATATCATAATACAGCATAACATGATCAGCTGTTTCAAGTCTGTCAGAATAGTACGGTCAGATATGCTGTGCCTAAGAAATTCATATGTACGGGATGGGACCAAGCTAAGGATCTTATTAGACAAAGAGCAGTCCCCTGCAACACGTTGCTGTGGCCCAGACTCGTGAGATGGAAAATAAAGTAATGAGAAAGTGTTGGGTTCTAATATATGTAATGCTTGTGGGTTAAAAGTATTTCTTGTTGTTTTTTCTCAGTGTTGATATAGAGATTGTCTGGTTTGCCTACTCTGGAACATGCAACATATATATAAACTCTCTGGCCTTTAACAAACCACAACCATCAATGAATACTGATAATCTCCACATTAAAATATTTCACAGTCCTTGTGATTACAGAGGAAAATGTAACACAAAAGAAGAAAAGCTTTTGATGTTGTATTGTTCTGTTTTCATCTGGATATGGAGAACCTTTCATCACTGTAGCTGGATTACAGAGGGATTTCTTTTATTCTTAGGTCTATTTTCATTGCACACCAAAGGAAATGAATACAAATGGAGTACTTCTTTGCATTATTATAGAAATAGGCTCCTAGACGATGGTGCTGGTAGGCTGTTTTTTCCCCATTTGAGTTGTCCTATGGAGGTCAGGATCAATGCTGTCCCTTACTACCGGCCTATTCACTTAGCTGCAACTGGGAAGGGAACAGAAGTGGGACAATAAAGCCCACTATAATGGCTCACAAGAAATGTCACTGAGACTGTCAACTCTCCCTAGACTTTTTCTTGGTTGTCATTCCACTGGGTAGAAGCTGCGGTGGCGCAGTGGGTTAAACACTTGTGCCATCTGAAATGCTGACCTGAAGGTCAGTGATTCAAATCTGTGAGACAGGGTGAGCTCCCATCTGCCAGCTCCAGCTTCCCATGCAAGGGCATGGGAGAAGCCTCCCACAGGATGGTAACACATTCAGGCATCCCCTGGGCAATGTCTCTGCAGACGACCAATTCTCTCACACCAGAAGCGACTTGCAGTTTCTCAAGTGGCTTCTGATATGATAAAAAAAAGTTCAACAGGGTCATTATGATACTGAAAAGCTTTGGGACATATCTTATTGTCCTTTCCTTTTCTTTGTTTTTTGTTGAATCTTTTAGAGCAGTTTCTCAAACTGTGTTCCTCCAGATGTTTTGGACTTCAGCTCCCACGATTCCTAAAAGCTGGTAAGATGGTTGGGATTTTTGGGAGATTAAGTTCAAAACACCTGGAGGAACACAGTTTGAGAAGCACTAATTTAGAGTGCGAACTTAAAAAGTTGGGTCTGTACCATTTTTTAAGCTTACGACAGGGTTTAGAAAACTAGAGGAATGTTATAAATAAAAGCAAATACAGCAGATGCAAGGCATTAACATAAAGGCTTACCTCATTCCTTCCGATGCCATCTTATCCAAGTTAGGAGTGTCTTTTCTCAGGAACCAGTTGGCACCAAGATCTCCCCATCCAATATCATCAGCAAAAAATATTATGAAATTTGGTTTCCTATAATCTGATGCTTTCTCAGTCAAAAAGACTCCTCGATGATGACAGTGGAAAAATCCAATTAAAAAAATAACCATCACTAAAAGCAGTGCTTTGGGCTTCAAGATATCCATGGTAATACCAGGAGGCATCTCATGAATTTTAGCAGTCAGCTAAAAAATATTTTCATATTGCAAATTTTTCCTTTTGTGTTGCTATCTTCAGAGCACATGTACAGTAAATATTTTCTATCTTCTGCAGCAGTTTCATCATTCTGCTGAAAAAGAAATTAGAAAAAGAGATGAGAGAAATCCAAAATCAGCAGAATAACATAGACTATATCTTTATTCAAACGCAGATTCAGTCAATTTGAGGCTTGATATGAGATCAAGGAGTTGGAATGAGTGATGACGGAGACTTCTGCAGAAGTTCCACCAAAGAGACTTGTGGGAACCCTTCACAATTTTGCTGAATCTCCCAATAATTCTGGTCTCCTGGACAGCAGTACGTGTGAAAATGATCTTGGGAGTCCTCGTGGACAATAAGTTAAACATAAGCCAACAATGAGATGCAACAGCCATTGCATCAATGTTATTCTCCAAAACTGTCACAGTGCTGTTCCAGGCATCATTTATGATGCAAGGTTTATCTTTATAATTCAATATTCTTCAATAACATCAGAAGATCTGAAGATTTTCTTCTTTCAACATCACCACTTGCACTGGAACTCCCTTGTATTTTGTTCAGGGAAGGGAAAATCTTTGGCATATTCAGTATGTCTATTACACTATGTAATAGTTAATAATATGTTACTAATATGTAATAGTTAAAGCAATGGTATTCCCAGTAGACACCTACGGATGTGAGAGCTGGACCTTAGGGAAGGCTGAGCGAAGGAAGATAGATGCTTTTGAACTGTGGTGTTGGAGGAAAGTGCTGAGAGTGCCTTGGACAGCAAGAAGTTCCAACCAGTCCATACTTCAGGAAATAAAGCCCGAATGCTCATTGGAGGGAAGGATAGTAGAGACAAAGATGAAGTACTCTGGCCACATCATGAGAAGAAAGGAAAGCTTAGAGAAGACAATGATGCTGGGGAAAATGGAAGGCAAAAGGAAGAGGGGCCGACCAAGGGCAAGATGAATGGATGGCATCCTTGAAGTGACTGGATTGATCTTGAGGGAGCTGGGGGTGGTGACGGCTGACAGGGGACTCTGGCGTGGGCTGGTCCATGAGATCACAAAGAGTTGGAAACGACTAAATGAACGAACAACAACAACAAATTACACTATGTAACATGATTTTTGTTCCTGGGTTATAAATGTCA